ATTTGAAATAGAGGAGCCCAAAAAGACACACCCCTCCTATTGTCATGTATTCTCTGAGGGATGGGCTGAGAGTCTGAGACTGCTCTGTGTGTGTGTGTGTGTGTGTGTGTTTCAGGGTGGAGGAAAAGGTTGCCAAAGCTTTTGTAAGCCCGGTGGACTGCTGCCATTCTGGAATGATCCTGCAGATGTACCTCTTCTAAGATTAACAATAAATTCTTTCTAAGTCTAGCTGTTGACTCACCTTGGTGGATGTTTGCATGATCATTTTGTGCCTTTATAGTCTCAGCTGATTCTTTCTGCAAAAAAAAATAAAAGATCAGTAAAGGAAATGTTATCAATGACACAACTGGTATGCAGCAAGAAACAACACTGCATAAAAGCTGCGAGGTTGACCGTCCCTTACAATAACCTTTCACAGAATTGCACATGACTAATTCACCTGTTGACTACTGACCATCTGGAGGCGGTCTATTCAGTCAAAAACAATCATTAGCCAGCTGTGATGCCTGTGACCAAGGCTCAGCCAAATGAAACGCCAAAAAGGGCTTAATCAAAACATTTCAGAGCAAATAATCTACATTTAATTGGCTTTGCCTTTACAATCCCACTGAGACTTATTTATTATTTTATTCAGTTTCATTATGTTTTTACGCTTTTGTTCAAATGGATTTCTGTAGGACACACTGCCAAGATCCACTGTATATAATGAGTAAGACGTGTGAGAGCACCTGACCTTCATCCCATCTGAATCTGGTGTGCAACAGCCACGTGTAGGAGAGCAGCTGGGGAGTACAGAAGGACTCGCATCCAGACACGTGAATAATGTATCTCCAAAATACAATACAAATACTAACATAAGTCATCACATTGAGAACATAAATAGGTTTCTGATGAATTGCACAACAAATAAATGGATGAATTTTCTTATAATACTGTATGAACAGTGGTATAAACTCTATAAACTATATTCACATGCTTGACAAATAACTTCAATGAAAACATTGATTGGACTATGTATAAAAATATTAAATGATTATGCACCATGTAGACTTATTCCACGATTTATGAAGAGAAAATAATTTTTAATCCACCTTATTTTAATGTAAGAGCGAGTGCTCTTGATATTTAAAACTGGTGCATTCATTCTCATAATTTTTGAATTTATTATTGTAATTATAAACAAGCTGGTTTGCAGCACAATTAGTTTTATTGTTTACTGCACTTTCACAGAAAATAGCTTTCTTCCACATTGCAAAATAAGGGGAATATGTAGCGTTTACCTGTTTGCATTGAAGAATCCATTATACGGAAGAGTTCTTCCTTCTTGGTGCTCTTGATCTGAGAGACGTACCACAGAGCAGTATGACCTCTTCCATCAAGGATCTTCATATCACTGGAAATCAGAGCAGGTGGATCAGTGACTATTTTTAATGAGAGAGGCCTATTAAATTACCATTAATCTTAAATTCCATTTTACTGTTTACAATTCTACATCTTCCAAATACATTGCATTTCTATTTGTTGTTTATATTTTACATTTCCATAACAAATCCAACTGAAATTGGATTCCTTACACTGGAAGAGACATAAGTTCTTTCAACACTTCCACAGGTTGATAGTCCCATGGCGTCTCCAGTTCTTCAAACAGATCCACATCCCTTACAGCCAGCATCAGGGGAGTCAGTCCATCTCTGTTCTGTTTATTCAACTCCACCAAGTAAGTCTGGGCCTGTAACACACAAACAATATAAGCTTTGTTTGTTGTAATTTACTCCACCTCTCCCTCACATGACAGGTGGCCAATACTGATCCATCAGAGAACTCCCTATGGAGTCTAGTCTGCTTTGTGTGAACCAAAGGTTGATACCACATTTCAAACAGTCAAATGGCAAGTGGAAGTTGAAGTCTGAGCTGCTCACCATCAGGTCCTGTAGACAGCAGAGGTCTCCCCTCCAGGCTGCTTGTGAGAGCTGCCTCTGATGGGGTACGTCTCCGATCATAGCCATCAACAGCTCCTCTTGGAGTGCTGGTTGACTAACGTGAAGAGCTGTCTGGTTGCTATGGTTACACAGCGTAGCATCGGCTCCTCTTTTCAGAAGGAAATGCATCACCTGTTTTCAAAATTGCCTATGTTAAAAGCAATGTATCAGAATGATAATTAAAATTATAATGAACTAGGTGAATAATAGTCTTATAGGTTTATGATATTTAAGCAATCAAACAAGTGAGCGTTCCATGCTGACATTAACCGACATCAAGTGTGCACGTGTGATATAGCTTTTATACAACAATTCAATAAATTAATATTAATTCACCTAAATTTTGGGGACAATATTGGCAGTATATTTTTGCTCTGCCAGCGAAAATAATTCCAAACAAAGCTGATGCAAAATTATGCTGCAATTTTTGATTGAGTGCTGTTGTGCTGTAAAAAAATCTGACATTTTAAACTAATCAATTGAGTAAATGATTCAATGACTTAAGAAATTGCCTTCTATAACCTCATTCACTATTCCCTCCATTACTCCACTATTATAGTCCACTGAATGAGTGAATGAAAACAAATGAGCAAATTCAGACATTGAGTGTGCCGGATGTGCTACGGACGTGGGAATTCATTTGGCGTGACACTCATTGGTTATATTGAGGTGCATTATGGAATTGAATAATGTCCACTATTGTTTGGGACACCACTACAAATGGTTGTCCCTCAAATAGTGCAATATAATGAGGAACTATTTCGTACAGTGTTGTTTCATTCCTTTGAATGAATCTGAGTTGATGACTTACTCTCTCATCAAAACAGTCACTTGTAAAATCCCTATCACCAAAGCACAGACACAAACAAGCAAAGCGATACAAACAAGTCAAATCCCCCATATGGAACTGTATATTATTACTCTTAAAACTAAATGTTGTTTAATGCATAATGCAGCAATTAAATCAAGAAAACAGGAAGTAGTAGAAAGTAGCTAATACAGTAAGTGAAATATTATGCCCATTATTTTAATCAATACATTACACCCACCATTACACTACATTAGCTTTCCTACACAGAACACAGCTACAGTTTCTGCCTTGTTTTCATCATATCACCCTATTGTCTCATACCTTAGTAAGACCTCTCCTGCAGGCACTGATAAGAGGAGTGGAGCCCTGTGAATCATGAGGCAGGTCAATTTCTTCCCAAGCGTAGAGTCCCTGCTCCAGCCCCAGAACCACAGCCTCAAGCTCTTCCTTCAACAGCTGCTCCACAAATCTGCTTCTTTCATGTTTACTCATGCTCCAGTGTTCTGGCAAATGCACAAACAGACAATTAGCTGTAGTTCTGGTTCACTAACTGTAATGAATATCTCCTTCAATATTCACAATATGCACAAGAACTGCTTGGTTGCCCCCATGTGGTTATGTTTATGATGAAGGCAATGCATAATCTCAGTATTATTTAAGTTCAAAGTCATTTTAAGTATTTTTCATCTTAAATAAATTGTAAATGCTTGCTTTTGAAGTTATTTATTAGCACATTTCACCTAAAGCAACTTCCTGTATAATTTAATAAACAGTAATAAACAGAGATTAATAAATGGCCATGTACTTACTGCATAAGAACACAAAAGCTCTTATAAGCACAATTCATAATGCATACATCATAGAACTTCCCAAGAAAAACATATTTGATGTTAGTTACTAAATAAGAGAATGAAAAGTGTTTTCTGTTGCTTACATTTAAACAAGCAAGACTCACCTGTGTCGGCAATTTGTTACTTCTCTGGACAGAAATGTTTGAGTTAAACGAAGTTAAATTCGTTCTTGTGTTTACGTCCTTGTCTTTGAAGGGCCAGTCCTTTGTCTTCAGTGCGCATTTGCCTGAAGCAGCTTTGAGTTTACAGCCTGTTGCCAAGGAGACTCCAGCTTTGGCATGAAAACAATGAACTCACCGTGAGACCTTTGTTTTGATTTCAAAGGGGAAGTGCGCAGAAATTTCCATATTAGCATTTGCGGTTGGTTGTTATGATAATAAAATTATATAATTATACAAAAGGAATGGAAGAATTTTAAATCTATCATACCTATTCTCTTATGCCAATATTTTACACACACACCACAACCCTCATATCCAGGTCAGCATATAAACTGTCTCTTGTTGCCTCTTGCATTTGCGTTGAGCAGAAGCTGTCCTGGGAGTCATTCTGTGGGAGATTCAGCTGCATTGATTGACCTTCACTGGGACCAGCGGCCTTCACAGGCAGAATTACACCGCTGTATTCTACTGCATTACAGGATTACTGTAATGATCCACTTAATTGATCATGATATAATTGAATCTTTGCTATAGCTTCTACAGTACTTACTAGAACTCCATACAAGTTTAGAATTAGCTGTAGCATATTAGACATTATCACAAATCATAGAAGACTTGAACAACCACGCAGAATCCCGCGACCTCTGGTGTTCACTGCGGAAAGTACTGTTGATGTTGTAATAAACTTTGCTTTCATTAAAAATCCTTGAGAAAAAAAAAGTTAAGCATTAAATGATCAAATTTCTAAACGTGTGTGTGTGTGTGTGTGTGTGTGTGTGTGTGTTATGCAGGCTATAAAATAGACAATAGGCTAAATAATAGAAAATCAAATAAAAAAGCAACTGAAAAAATATGAAATTAATTTATTAACTTTATAATCACACACTTGCTAAGTTAAATATTTGATGACCAAATTGGTGGTATTTTTATTATCCGTTCAAATACGTTTCGACATTGCATAACTGATTGTTCAGTTGATTTTTCCATAAAAAAAAAAGAAAGAAAAAGACAGAAAAGAAAAGTCTACATCAAATAAATTATATTTTCCAAACGTGCTATTGATTTCTTTATTTGTGGAACTTCGTATTTACAAAATTGTTCCAGTCCCGGTTGCAGTCAGGGGCAGCTCTGCTGAGAGGCGCTGTTGGACAGCAGAAGCGCGTGCGGAAGGAGCGGCCGCCGTCAGTCAGAGCGCGTGGAGCTGCTGAAGGTGGAACTGTCCAGTGCTGATGCTCTTCAGAGGTGCACTCGGCTTTAGCTCCTAACAGCTGCCGCCAACAACAACAAAATTACACTCATTTTAAATGATTATGTGATATGTTACGTGCTATTTAAAACGGTGCCCAGGAGTTTATTTTGTCCTGGGTTGTTTTCAGTTTCAAAGCTTCTTTCGCCTAACCAATGCGAACGGACCGTACGGGCTGAACGGCTGGCAAGCGTCGAGACATTTTGATTGTTTGATTGATGCATTCCTCTGCAGACTGCGGGGTGGACGACCAGATCTGCTGACCGGAGAGAAAGTTTCCTTGGATAAAATCATACACGATGGTGGATGCGGCTGAATGTTGTGTGAAGGTGATGTGCCGATTCAGGCCACTTAACGAATCGGAAATCACTAGAGGTGACAAATACATACCGAAATTCAAAGAAGACACCGTGGTGATATCGGTAAGATGTCTTCAGAGTCTACAGATGTTATCAGTGCAGACGAAAAGTCCCTAAATCTTTTTCTAACGTTCGCATTTTCTTTCTTTGTTCAGGAGGTTGCTATATATAATGTAACTTGAGATAAATGTAGGTCTATTACTCTAACTTGACTCATTAATGTGATAATTTCTTATCTGTCTTATTCTTATCGAATGGTTCTTTCATATTATAAAGGTTAATCCTGAATTAAGTCTTAGACAGCCCAAAATTTCATTTGAAAAGCAGATCCTCTTTTCATTTGAAAAATGTGTTTGTTATTTTATCGAGAATCACTCCACACAATGATGTATGGAATATGCTTTCTTTTGTTTTACTTCAGCGAATTTGTTTTTATTTTGTATTTTTAATTACATTCATTATAGACTTGGCTACGTAAAGCTATTGAACATTCCCCTTATGGTCCAGTAAACAGATACAGGACACACGATGACCCTAAATTGCTACGTGTTGTCCAAATAGGTGGTAAATTGCCACAATGGAACTGGCCATTAAATAACCTATTATAGGCTTTTCAGCCAAACAAAACAGTAGAACTGTTATGAAACACACACAAAATAAAAAAAAAATAAAAAAAGTGAAAGGTAATGTAAAATGTCAAACCGTTGTAGACAAATATGAATTTTAATTGATAAATTGCACAAATGTACATCATATTAAACACATGTGGAATGAAAAACATTGTCCATCTTTTCATTTAAAATCTATCTTCTTTATATTGTTGACCCCAACCTGAATGTACTTGGTGTTCATTTGGTACTCAGTAGATATAACAATGATATTTTAGTTTTAGACATTTTAGTTTGGAGGATAGAATTGATAAAAAAATATATATTATTATACTACTTGTGACAAATTTCCCACGTTAACCTTTGAGAATTTTATTGTTCTCGCCATAATAACTTTGTTTACTTTAATATCATATTTTTCTGAATGACCACCATTTGTGCCAGGCTTTTTAAAGAATTTAGAATTTAGAATGGCAAGTTACCTGTATTTTAGTAGTGGGATCAAATTAAAGAGCATCTGATATCTGGAATGAGAGTCTGAGTGACTGTGTGTGTGTGTGTGTGTGTGTGTGTGTGTGTGTGTGTGTGTGTGGGTGGGTGTGGGTGAGTGATGTGCTATAAATAAGCTGGACTGTCAACACAGTAAGATACTGATGGTTTTTATGTTTTACAGTAAACCTCCAGAAATCCCTTGTGCAAACACAATAGCCCATATTATCTGATCCATTGAGATGGTAATCGGCATTACCATGCCTAATCTGCACACAAAATCGAGTGTAGCAGGTATTAGACTTCTGCTTCTAATGTAAATTCTCTTTAATGGTACCCTGCAGGCTCTGCACAGCCTGATGTTCCTAATGCCAGATATTTAGCTTTAGGATACAAGTGTGACTGTGAATGGAGATCTGGGTAGTATTTGCAAATTTATTGTTTATCTAACTGCATCTCATTAGTGATTGTTGTTTAGTAGTGAACCTTTCTGTGTGTTGCTTTAATGCAAAATATTTTAAACAGTCAATAAAATCTAATTCATTTGTGGGGGAAAGGGTGAATTTCACACCTCCTCCCCCAACAGCTCTGATGAACTAAAATAGAAATGAAGATCTATCTATCTATCTATCTATCTATCTATCATTTGTATTTTATGTATGAAACTAATTCTGAATAAGAACTTGATATACAAAAGAATATCTGGTCCATTAGGGATCACAAATATCAACTTCCACAGACTCGCAAAGAAATTAAATTTACAATTTTTCAGTAATTGAGTGTGTAATTATAAATAGCACAATTTTATAGCTTTAAAAATGATGGTATGCTAGTATTAATATTTGTTATTTAAATATGTTGTTTTTATTATTTCGTTTAAATTTTTTTAGCAACATTGCAACAATTTTGTAAAAAAAAAAATCTGCATCAATTTTGATAAATTGCCTATTTACAGTAAAATTATTTAAAAATTATATTAAAAAGTATAAAAAAATCTAAATTATTTTATAATTATTTATTTATTTAATTATTTATTAATTCACAGTTTAACATAAACAACCAGCAGTAAATGGGTTACATGGTTTGTGTTTGAGTATAAACTGCTGAAATGAATATCCACCACAAAACAATTGCAGGGAGATTTATAGGACAGATTGTGATAGTGAGAAATTACTAATCATTTGCAGCTTGTCAATATCAGGTTTTACTTTATATGGGTTGACTGGTCAGCAGTGTTTAATGTGGGTGGTAACGTCCTATGCGAGTAATTTACGTTTCCGTAGTGACAGAGGTGCCATTTGAGGGGCCAGGACTGGCAAGGAACGGATTGGCTGATTTAGTGGAATATTTAATTTTATTTATTTATGGCCAGTCCACAGAGGATTGGGACAATTGTTGTTTGACACGCACAGTCTCATGCATGTTGCTTGTATAAACCCCCTTCTTGTTGTATTTCTTGTCCTCTTTTATATTTTGACATTATCTTCTGCACCACCTTGCAAAGAACTCTTACATTTACTGCATTATTAGATTTCAATTATGACAACTCTCGGAAGATTTTAGCATGGTGATGGATATGACAATGTTAATGTATTTGGTCTTGGCGGAATAGATCTGCTACGCTGCTGCTGAATTGCTGCTGCTGTTGGTTATTTCTGTATTTGTAGATTATTGCTGCTGCTGCAAGCAAGTACAGGAACTTGCTACTGCCAATGCATATGGCGATATGGTGCCATGAGTATTTAAGACATACTGCTGCTGCACAAATAGCATATAATATAACCCGTAGCAGATCTATACAGGTGGAGCTGGGGAAGGTGGAGGGTTTCAGAGAAACTCTGAAAGCGCGCTGCAGGAATCTCTAGTGAATGCTAGCCAGCCATATAAATGCAAGGTAGTAAGCTCATTTGCTGCATATGCAGCATGAACCAATCAGCTTGTGCCAAGTCTTTTAACTCTCTGAATATCATCAGTTACGTTAACAACCCGTCAGCCTGCACCATCTAGAGTTTCATGACTGAACTATATATTTATTTACGACACACATTTTTATCTATATAATTTATTAAAATACTGTATGTAATGTACTATTTCTATTCTACAGACCCATCTGAAATAGAAAAACATGCATTATCCTTTCAAGTATTTGTTCAGGAAGTAGGCAATATAGATTTTTGATTGAATGTGGTAAAATCCTGCACTCTTGGAAAAGCCTTGATGGTCCCCAGATAATATGCATAAATTATTGACTAAAAGAATCCATTGACCTGAACACGTGTGCTTTTATATACAGCTAGTGTTTGTGTTTATAAAAGATTGTGTTCAGATTGCAGCACATGGATAAAAGTCTTGCACAAGATTTAATGTAAATGTCCTTGTCTATTTACTGTTTCTTTCTTTCTTTCTTTCTTTCTTTCTTTTTCTGTATTACAAGAATTAATTTTAATCTGCAGTATTTCTTTGAATTATCACATAAAATGTTGTACAAAAATAGAGAGATGGAAGGAAGAGATGATTGTCACATCCAGCAATCATGTTATTCTGCTCCTGTATTGGCCAGGAGACGGGTGCTGACTATCAGCCAATCAGTGCATTTCTTTCTGGGTGAGATGTAGTTTCCGTGGTGACGGTCTGGGTTTGAGCAACAGCTCTCATTTGTGTCTCGGCAGGGATGCTTGACCCCAACCGGCTTAATCAAACATACAGACAGAAACATCATGTGTCTGTGTGAACACTATCAAACCTTATACAGCAGTATTAGTGTCTTGTGTGATTTCTTACACAGATAATCAACAGGGCAAAGGCATGTCTGTTTTAGGTCACCTGAACCGTATGTTTCACTCATGGATGTTAAAATAAGGCATAGGATAGACCTGGATCTGTGTAGGTCTCAGGAATCTCTCTCTCTCTCTCTCTCTCTGTCTCTCTTTCCATATGGGAAAGTGTATTTGTGTGAATATGGGCAAAAGAGGATGTGGGAAAACTGCTGTCAGCAGTACATGAGCTTCCCAATGATCTTTGTGTGCATGTGTAAATGCAGCGCTAATGCCAAATCTACATTAGCTGATTTTGCACTCCATAAACAGTAAAAGAAAGAAGCATCCTTAGATATTTATCCATCTTAATTTTTTTATTCTAGCTTTTATTCTTTTCTTCTTCTTCTTCTTTTTTTTTTACTATTACTTATATGTTTTTGTCTAAACAAAAGTTTAAACATAAGGGTTAGACAAAAGTTAAAATATTTTTGTTAAAATAAAACAAAAATAAAAATAAAAAATTTTAACCATTTTACAAGTAAATTTAAATAGTCATTTCTGTGCCAGTAGCATCATCAGACAGAATTCCAAAACGTTTTGTATCTGTTCGATCAAGAATGGCAGAGTAATTTAAGTTCTTTTCGGCATTATCAGGAAAAAAAAAGTGCCGACCTCAGAGGGTTAAAAAACATTTCCCTGCACATAGTTCTTTCTTTGGAGAGTTATTTTTCATTGCTAATCACAGTTTCAAAGTCTGTAGATTTCAGCAGCAGGTTCAGGCTCCGGCTCAGAGAATCAAAACAAAAGAGAGGGATTTGTTGGGGCTCAATAAGATTGACTGGCAGCTGGGGGTTGGGCTGCATTCATCACAATGTCCTCTTTTTCTCTTCAACAATGTATACCCCTCAAATCCTCTGGGGAACTTCATAAATAGCCGTCAGTAGAATCTGTGCAGCATCAGCAAAACAAAGAGGTGCTGGGGCCATTTATGAGAGTGACCTCTTGATGCAAAAATAGAATAATTCTTAAATGAATATGATAAATAATGAAATCAAACTATTTATCTGTTTTGGGCTAAATCATAGAAAACTTAATGCAGAAACTTTACAATTTCAGTCTCACTGGTAAGCATCCAGCTTTGATCATTAGCTGTCTAATACGATTCACTGTGAATGTAACCATAGTTTCCATTTAATACACCATTTATTTATATGTGTGTGAAACATCTGGGGAAAAATTGAGGTTCTGTGCAAGTCTGTGAAGAACACAGAGTGTCTTGTATTTCAACTAAACAAAGAAAAAAAGGAGGGCTGATTTACTCCACATTTACAAACACATATTTTTAATCTGTAAGGTCTGTGTTATTGTGGGTATTAAAGATATTCATTTATTGAGGGGTTTTAAAGCTTAAAACAAAATATTAATGATATTTTCTATTAGAGTTGCCTCTTGAACTATTTTACGTGTTAGGACCTGTTCAATATTCTTGACTAATGTTTCTTTTTAGGGCAAGCCATATATCTTTGACCGAGTCTTTCCTCCGAACACAACACAGGAACAAGTATATGATACCTGTGCCAAACAGATTGTTAAAGGTTGTATATACATTACATATAGCTGCATGATAGCTTAAATTATACAGACCTTAAAAGAAAAAAAATTGAAAGTTAAATCACGAGTCTTGCATTTCAGATGTGCTGGAAGGCTATAATGGGACAATCTTTGCATATGGCCAAACCTCATCAGGGAAGACACACACTATGGAGGTAAGGAAGAAAAACGAAATCATATCATATTTGGTATCAAGTTCAGTAATAGAATAAACTTTAAGTACATGTACAGTGAGAAAATGTCACTACACGCACAGTCACAAAATGCTCTAGATGGATGAACGTCTCTCGGCATCTTTCATAAAATGACTGAAATGCCAAACTGCTGCAACAGCTGCAAAATGCCACTTGACTGCAGGCGTTGCCCTGGAAACAGCCTGCGCTTTCAGCAAGTGTTTTGAATATAAAGTCAATAAATTCAGTTGTAAAATATTTCTGAAAAAGAATGACTTGGTAACCATTGAAAGATGCAAATTATGCCAAACAAGGATGTCCTCGTACATTCTTCAGAGGGAATACTTGTATCATCCTTATTCACATTACACACATATCGTAGAGGGAAATAGAAATTCTTCAATGCAGTGCTTAGTTCTTACACAAACTGTCATTAGTTTCTCGAAATAAAGTGGCATCTTATCAAATATTTGCTGTAATTGTCCTCTGCAACATGCACACAGGGACAGCTCCATAACTCACAACTGAAGGGCATCATCCCTCGCATCGCCCAGGACATCTTTGACCACATCTACTCTATGGATGAGAACCTGGAGTTCCATATCAAGGTGAAAACATTCAGCATTAAATCTGCTTGTGTATTTCCCATGTGAAACCATCAAATTCTATATTGTTTTTAATAATATTCGTATATTAACAAATCGAGAGAAAAAAGCTTAGCTGTCTAGAAAAATAAATATTAGTGGATTTTTTTCTCTGGCATAAAGTAATATATAGCATATTCAATTATAGGTTATGTTAATTAGTTATTGGACTGGTCATGGGGCTTCATTAAAGGAGTATAATATTGTAGTCAGTGCTATAGTGGTATAAAAACTCTTTTGAAAGGAGAGCGAAATCTTTGTTCACTACCATATCAACAGAAAATCTATTCCAGCATCTTCTTTTCAGTGTATAATACTATTCAATGTCAACTGGAATTGGGTTTGGTCTCTTCAATACAAATATTTATGATAAGATAAAAGCAGTCACATTTAAAATATTACATAGACGGTACCAATGTATCAAAATCTTTTTTTGAGAATGTTTTTATTTTATTTGTTTGTTTGTTTGTTTGTTTTTAGAACAAGTGTCTGCATGAGAAAAAAAATCTGAATATGTATAAACAGTTTTAATTTTATTTTTAATTCTTTTTCATTATTACAGCACAAACTCTGATATTCAGTACTTCAGATAATTTTTTTATTATTCTTGCTAAATTTTAATTTTTTTATACACAAGTGCAAATCTTTAGCTAATAATCCTCTATTTCCCTTTTTTTCTTTTTTGGTAGACTATAATTCCTATGTTATGTCTTTGATGTGCATTTTTTTATGTTTTGTTAAATAATATTATTAATATATTTTTTAAATAAAACCTTTTTTAAATTAATGGTCATCCCTTATCACAGGTCTCTTATTTTGAAATCTACCTGGACAAAATCAGAGACTTGCTTGATGGTGAGATAAAAAAACAATCACATTCTTCTTCATACTATTAAGATTCTTTCATGATGTAAATTCAATTTGTCCAATGTTGTCCACTTCTAAAGTTTCCAAAACCAACCTGGCTGTCCATGAGGATAAGAACAGGGTGCCATTTGTCAAGGTAGGAAAGATGTACAATGCAGTATTTTTGCAGTATCACCAGGCATGAGGCAAACACTTCCTTGATGTCTTGTGTCTTTTGATGCTGTTCCATTGCCAGGGTTGTACAGAGCGTTTTGTGTCCAGTCCAGAGGATGTCATGGATGTGATCGATGAGGGTAAATCCAATCGTCACGTGGCTGTTACAAGTGAGTAACTATTCCTTATTCCCTGATATAACACATCACATCTTGAATCAAACATAACTAATACACAGTGCTGTTATCTTGACCTTAAACAGTGTCACACTGTTTTTATCCTAACCCATGGTCCTCTGATGTTACATTGTGTTACAGACATGAATGAGCACAGCTCCCGCAGTCACAGCATTTTCCTCATTAATATTAAGCAGGAGAATGTGGAAACAGAGAAGAAACTGAGCGGAAAACTCTACCTGGTGGATCTTGCAGGAAGTGAAAAGGCATGCTTTTATTGATTTTTTTATATTGTGTTGTTGCCTTTGTTTTATCTCTATTTGTATCTGAAGTAATACAAAAATAACAAAAAAGGGCATATTTAACTTAATAACATTTCTTTTTTACTTTATATAATTTACATTTTTTATAATATTAATATGAAATAAGATCTATTTTATCATATTGTCTTTATATTATTATTTTTTTCTTCCCCTCAAAATTCTAAAACTTCATTTCCCAGTTTTAAATTAGATTATATTTGCAGTATTACCTCAGCCTTTTGTATCCCACTATATATGATCAATAATTATGTTTTGTAAGAATTATAGTTCAAAATCCCTGATATAGTCATAATAAAACTACAAAATAGATTTGAGAACGATATCATATCTCCACTCTCTGTGGCTCTTTCTCTTTCACAGGTCAGTAAAACTGGAGCAGAAGGATCTGTGTTGGACGAGGCTAAAAATATCAACAAGTCTCTCTCTGCTCTGGGGAACGTCATCTCAGCCCTGGCTGAAGGAACCGTAAGTGCTCGGCCTGTCTCAACTGCCCAGACGTTTTCTTTTTTTCTTCCACGTCCTCTCTTTTCTCTGAAATGCTACTCATCTTGTCTACATAATGTAGGCTTCACACAGTACAAAGCAATATTTGCTTTATACATTATTTATTGTTTTCTCATTACAGAAAACCCATGTGCCATACAGAGACAGTAAAATGACCAGGATCCTACAGGACTCTTTGGGTGGGAACTGCAGAACAACCATCGTCATCTGTGCCTCTCCCTCTGTATTCAGTGAGGCTGAGACCAAATCCACGCTCATGTTTGGCCAGAGGTGAAGCCATCTTATGCCCTAAAAGATTTCTCTTTAACTGTATAAAGACTAGAAATGAAGACTAGCCAGTGGAGCTAAAACAAAAATGACACAAATATGTGCATATACAAATCATTTCCACCCTGCTCTATTCACACAGGGCCAAAACCATCAAAAACACAGTGTCTGTGAACATGGACCTCACAGCCGAGGAATGGAAGAAGAAATATGAGAAAGAGAAAGAGAAGACCAGAAATCAAAAAATCACCATCCAGAGGCTAGAAAATGAGCTCAAGCGATGGCGGAAAGGTAAAGAAAGAAGATGGAGAGCAAACACAGATGTAAAAAAAACCAAGCTACAAGCAATAAAACGTCACTTTTTGTTTGCTGTTACATACTGATAAATATTTAACTGATTAGAATTTGATTGGTATTTTTTTTGTTTCATGTTTAATAGTTGTATAATTGTTATATATTATTATATATTTCTTATATATGTTATATTTGTTTATATTTTATATATACTATTGTTTATATGTATGTATGTGTATGTATATATATATATATATATATATATATATTACTGAGGAAAATTTAATTGAAATGATGCTTGACATTTGCAGTGGTTGATTTGAAAATACTGTAATGGTAGAGATGATACATATCATTTGGTTTGCTGGTCTAATGTGCAGAGTCCAGTCAATTTTTGATGTAATTGTCTTAACAAAAGCTTAGTTTTTTGCAGTTTGAGTCCTAAAATGGACTCCACAATGAGGAGCCAGTTATTTCTTCTTCCCCTGTTTGTTTAAGACTTATTACGGCCAGAGCCTATTTCTGTTTTTGAGTGAAATAATGATGTTTCCAAAGAGGAAATGAAGTTATTTAATAATTTATGTTATTATTTTGTTATATTGATGAGAACTTGACACAAATTGGCCTTCATATAAACCATGCGTGTACTGATGACAAAAATCCACAATAATTGACAATGATAAATACCAATTAGCATTAATTACACAGATTGTCTAATGGTGCACACATAATGACACAAAAACAAACAGGCCTGTCATTAAGTCAAAGAATGTTTGCTACAAAGCACTCACAGTATGTTATGTCAACACCACTTTATATGGCTAAATTACTTTCCTTGTTAAAATATTTTTAGTGACATATTCAGCCTCAGACATGTCCAAAGCTTTTCTTTTTTTCCCTCCTATTAATCCTGATGTTTTTTTTCTCTCTCCTGCATCCCCATGACTAGGTTTTTATTTTTTGTCTGTGTTATCAGCTCCCTCCACCTCTCCTGCACATAAAACACACAGATGCTGAGTTCACCCGTCTCAGCACTATAAAGCCCAGAGAATAGCACTGAGACTGTGTGTGCAGCTGTTCTTTCCTTTACGTCCAATCAGTCGTTCTCATCTCTGTCTTTATCATCAAGTCTGCAGGACCGTTTCCTGAAAGCCTTGTTCCTTTTATTAATGAAGAAACCAATGCCTTCGCTATTTTATTTTATTTTGTTTTATTTTACAATAACTTCATACTAGAAATCCAAAGCCACTTGATAATTAATAAAAAAAAACTGTTGCAGTTGTGTTGGACTGACATATTTTCCCTCTTTATCTTTAGGTGAGACTGTACCTGTTGATGAGCAGCACAGCAGTAAGGAAGTAAAGAATTCTGAAGCCGCTCCCATAATTGACACTTCGGCTCCGCCCCCTGAGCCTCTTTCTGATTCAGAGAAAACCCAGTATGAGGAGCTGATCAATGACCTGTATCATCAACTAGATGACAAGGTGATGAATACCTCTCACACGCTGTTAGAAAAGTGCATCAGGAAGTACAGCCTTCACAACTCAGACCTTCCTCTCCTTCTGTCTTTCACCACAGGATGATGAGATCAACCAGCACAGTCAGCTGGCAGAGAACCTGAAGCAGCAGATGGTGGATCAGGATGAGGTGAATCTGGCTCAAGAGCAGCAACATAGAGCAGAAAACTCATGCCCTCTGCAATTTATGATGTCACATGCCTTCCCATGATGCTTTGTCTGCAATGCATCTGAAACTGAAAGGGAAATTATTATGAAAAAGTTTAACCTGTGTAAACATACATATGCTACTAGCTGATCACTGGCTGGCTGTTATGCATTCCTTCATTGCAGCAGAACATGTTAATCAAAACTCTTTAATTTAAAACAAGTGCTTGGGGTAATAATTAGGAAAAAATAATTGATGTTTTATATTGAGCTCTATCATCTCACTGCCTGTACTTAGAAATTCCATTCAGGTACAAAGAGTGGCAACAAAGCAAAATTGCTCCTAATTATACAGGTGGATGTGAAAGACATTTAAAAATAAATGTCCCACAGGATCTCTAATAGGGTCTTTTGAAACACTTGGACACACCCCAGGAACTCAAAAATCCCAATATTTCTGCATCAGTACATTTTTTCCCCCCATAATTCTAATTAAATCATTCTGAACAGCATTCCAGTGATCACATACTGTATGTTCATATGAAATGATACCCTTTACTTCCATCTGAGGTCTGATAGTTTTGCTATCTCTGATTGTACACTAACACTATCGTTCAAAAGTTTGGGGTTACCTGTGTACTTACATAGTAACTAGATGTGTACATAGTATGTCACAGTGATAAAGCTGGTATGTGTTTGCAGTACACAAGCCACGGTTAAGACAGCTGACTCCTCTGTGATGTGACCCCGTCTCTGTCTCTCTCTCTCTCACTCTCAATTCAATTCAATTCAATTCAACGCTCTCTCTCGCTCGCTCTCTCTCTCTCGCGCGCTCTCTCTCTCTCTCTCTCTCTCTCTCTCTCGCTCGCTCACTCGCGCACACACACACGATCCACATTTGAACAGTCAATAGCAAATACTTAAACTAATAACAAAACAGTAGCTGATTCAGAAGCGCCAGATTGTC